GTGGAGGGGGCATAGGGAGGGCTGCATTGCACTGGGATCCCAGTGAAGATTGGGGGGTGGGTCCTGCGGCTGTTTGATATGACGATGACTGTGCCCTGCAGGGAGCGAGGCCGGGAATGCCCAGGACGTGGTCTCTGTGTGCCAGAGCCTGCACCGTGTGGCCCTGCAGTGCCAGCGGGACCCGGAGGGCTGCTGGTACTACCACCAGACAGTGGTGCCCTGCCTGCTGGCCATGGCTGTGCAGGCTGCCATGCAAGGTAGGTGCGGGGCTGGGGCGGGAGAGGGGAGAGCAGGCGGTTCCCCGGGCTCTCTGGGGTCCCTGATCCTGCAGCCAGCGCTGCTGCTGCCGCCATCCGGCAACCGCGGGCACTGCGGGCCCCCCCACTAGAGGCAGAGCAGCCCTGCCCCACGGCAGGTGTGGGTCAGGGGGCTGTGCCTGCCTCCTCCCTCCGAGCAACAAGCTCCAGCGAGTCCCTTTCCTCCCGCTGCCTACAGAGAGCACCCACCTGCTGCTGGGCAAGGCACTGCTGAAGGAAGAGGTGCTGGCTGCCATGGTCCCAGTCATCAGCGGTGCCACCACTCACCTGAGCCCTGAGTGAGTGATGCTGGGGTGGGACGGGCACTCTATCATGGGGAGGGGGCAGGCCGCATCCCCTCTGCTGCTGTCTGTACATGCAGACCCTGCACCTCTTGGGAGGTACCCAGGAGCTCTCTGGTGACCCTCCCAGAGCAGCACGCTGCGACGTCTCCGTTCTCCTAGGCTGGCTGCCCAGAGTGTGTCTCACGTGGTGCCCCTCTTCCTGGAGGGAGAGGTCTCCTTCCTGCCTCAGAACAGTTTTCCCTGCTCCTTCCAGCCCTTCGAGGTGTGTTGGGTGCTTGGGGCTGGGGTGCTGGAACAGGGGCAAGGAATGAGGATGTCTGCACAGGCTGGCAGCAAGGACCGTGCTGACATGGGCGCTGTTATTCCCCCTCAGGATGGGGAGTGCTTGGAGGCACAGAGACGCCTGGTCGTCCTCCTCATGGCCTTCGTCTGCTCCTTGCCCCGCGATGTAAGTTGGTGGGGAGCAGGGTGGAGAAGGGGCCCTGACCAAGCACTCTCCTGCCTGGGTCCACAGCAAACTCCATGGGCAGAAGGGAGCGACTGTGGCCCCAGGCTGTAACACGCTCTTTATCTCTTCCAGGTGGCAATTCCTCAACAGGAGCGGCTAGGGGAGTTGCTGGCGTGGAGCTCCTCTCGCAACTGCCCCTCCACAGCCACCACAGCTGCCAAGTGCTTTGCAGGGCTGGTGAACAAGCACCCGGCGGGTAAGGGGGCTGGGCAGGACGCCGTGGGTCCCTGCCCACTGCTGGCAGGGGAATGGCTCAGCCTGTCCCTTCTGTATCCCCAGGGCAGCAGCTGGATGAAATCCTGCAGCTTGCAGTGAACAGGATGGAGCCTGGCCTTGTGGAGGGGCCCTGCCGAACGCAGGCGCTCACCCTGCTGCTCTGGGTAAGGCCCGCCCTGGATGCGGGAGCAGGGGAGAGCCAGGGGGGCCGGCCTGGCGCTGACTCTGCTCTGCCTGCACAGGTGACCAAAGCCCTAGTGCTGCGCTACCACCCCCTGAGCTCCCAGCTGACGGACAAGGTAAGCGGCGGTGGGCCTGGGCGCTGTCCGAGCAGCCTGACGGATCCCCCCGCGGCAAAAAAAACCCCCAGCAGCAGGGCGCCCTGCCTCAGGGCTCTCTCCCTCGCAGCTGCTGGGCCTGCTGGGTGATGCGGAGCTGGGCCCCGCCGTGGCTGGCGGCTTCTCCCTGCTCATGGCTGAGTCCCCGGACGTGCTGCACAAGGGCTGCCAC